TTCTGCCAGTTGCTGTGAATTTCCGGTCGTGAAAAATGGGTCGGTGCGGTATCCGTGGGTGAATAGGCCAGTTAAAAGCGGGTTGGTCTGGGCGAGTAGGATGGCATGGAGTTGGGCGGTGGGGCGGGTGAGGGCGTCGGCGATGTTGGATGCACCCTTTTTGTACGTAACGGTGTAGTGAAAATTGGACTCGAGATAGTCCAACCAGCGAATCTGTCGTGGGTTGAGATTCGGTTGGGCGCGAAGGTACTGTAGCGAGCGGTGGTCTGTCCGTACTGTCACGTCGGCGCCAGTCAGGTAACATCGCCAAACTTTGAACGCGTGCACGATCGCTAGCATCTCGCGGTCGTGTATCGGGTAGTTACGTTCGGGCGGGTGTAACTTGCGGGACTCGTACGCGATTGGCTGGAGGCCGTTCCCGAAGTCCTGCAACAGTACTGCTCCCACAGCGATGTCACTTGCGTCGGTGACGAGTTCGAACGGACGGTGGGGATCTGCAATGTGAAGGACGGGCGGGGAGCACAAAATATTTTTGAGGGCCGAGAAGGCAGCTTGCTCTTTCTCCCCCCACGTGTACTCAACCCCCTTCCTCAGCAGGTCAGTCAGCGGGGCAGTCAGCTTCGCCATGTCGGGGACGAACCGGCGCACGTAGTTGACGAACCCCAGGAAACTCTGCAACTCGGTCAAGTTGGTCGGCGCGTGCCAAGCCTGAATCGTCGCAATTTTCTTCGGGTCTATTTCCACTCCTGCAGCTGAAATAACATGTCCCAAAAACTCCAGGCGGTCCTGTAAAAACTCACACTTCGATGCTTTGGTCAGTAGGCGGTTCTCACTCAGGATTTTAAAAACTGCTTCGATGTCCTGTAAGTGCTGTGCTCTGTCAGGGCTGTAAATCAGTATGTCGTCCAGATAAACGATGACGCACTTATCTAAAAGCGGGCGGAATGCTTCGTTCATGGTCATTTGGAAAGTGGCGGGGGCGTTGGTCAGTCCGAATGGCATGACAGTGTATTTGAAGGATCCGTAGCGTGTTCGCAATGCGGTTTTAGGGCAGTCGGGTGGGTTGACGCGGATTTGGTGGTAGCCTCCTCGGAGGTCGATTTTCGAGAAAACCCGGGCTGTGCGCAGTTGGTCGATCAGTTCGTCGGCTCGTGGGATGGGGTAACGGGATTTGATGGTAACCCTGTTCAGTGCCCTGTAGTCGATACACATGCGAAACCCCCCGTCCTTTTTCGGTGTGAACAGTATTGGTGCGGCGAAGGGCGACGAACTAGGGCGAATGAATTCCTTTTCGAGCAGGTAATCGAGCTGCTTCCTTAGTTCGTCTAGTTCGGGTTGGGTCACTCGGAACTGTCGCTGTACTGTTGGCTGTGCCCCCGGTTCCAGTTCTATCCTGTGATCGTGCGGTCGCTGAGGTGGCAGTCCCGTCGGTAAGTCATCCGGGAAAATGTCACTGTACTGTTTTAACAGTGCCGCCAGGTCACTCGGTACGTCGGTCAGCAGTTTCTGTAAATCGCCCCCCTTGTCTGCTGCCTCGGCTTCCCGAATGTCAACCGCGTACACGTCAGCTCCGCCCGCAACAGCGCGTTTCATCGTGATCGCGTTGACACGCACCGACGAAGACTCAGGCGAGCCCCAGCGAGGTAGGGCGATGTTATTACCGTTTACTCGCACGGTGCAGTCACCCGTCGTCCAGTCAATTCGCGGATTGTGTCGTCGCAGCCAATCACGCCCGAGTAAAATGTCGGTTCCGTCGAGGGTCGTTGCGAGCATTTCCTGGCGAAACGCGAAGTTACCCCCGCATCGAATCCGAACTCGGTCTACGCGTTCCCGTATTGCCAGCGGCGTGCCGTCTACCAGTCGTGCGTCGATCTCAGGTAAGCATCGGTCCAGTGGCAGTCGCAGTTTGCGTGCTGTAGCAGTGTTAATGAGGCTGTGGCTGGCTCCCCCGTCTACGAAGATTTTAACTAAGTCTGTCCCAATTTTCCCACTGAGCAGTATAGGGCTATCTACCGTGGTACCCTCCTTATTCGGCCGGGTGTGGTCGATTGCGTGAACCGGCACAATCACTCGGTGAGGGTCGGTTGGGTCGGGCGAGCTGCGTGACCTGTCAGTAGAGGGCCCGTCTGCTACTGACTTCCAGCGTTTCCCTGCTGCTTGGTCTGTGTCTGCTGCTCAGCTTCCCCCTTTCCCTTAGCGTTTTCCGGGCATTCGCTCTTGCGATGTCCCGGCCGATTGCACGCAAAGCAGCGCCCTTTGAACGGTGCGGCAGCGGCATTTGCGGCGACGGCGCGTATCGTGGCGCTCTCGTTCGTCCCACGAGGCCGATGTCCCCAGGTGTTGTTTCCGTAGGACCCCGGTCTCGGTCGGTGAAAGAAGTCGAGCTTCTCCGCCATAGCGAGAATTTCCTGAAACTCAGTGACGCCGCGAAGCTGGATTTCCTGAGCGATGTCCTGCTTCAGGCCGCCGATGTAGCGGTCGATGCGTTCGCTCTCATGCATGTAGCCCACCTGCTCGCATAGCGCCAGAAATCCGCTCGTGTAATCCTGGACGGAACCGAGTTGGCGCCAAGTGCGGAGCTTCTGTCGCGCCGAGATCGAGGCCGCGATTGGCTCAAATCGAGCGCGCAGACCTGCGCACCACGCGTCCCACGTGCGATACTGGGGCACCTCCACGAAATACGACGGCGCCCAGGGTCCGGTTTGTCCTTCCCGTGTCGGTAGTGTCGCGTAGTCGGTCGGCTTCGTGACGATGACGCGCCACCTGTCCATGGCGGGTCCTCGCAGCAACGACACAGCGTATCGAATCTTCGCCGAGTCCTCCGAGACGTAGTTGGCGTCGAAGAAAACATTCATTGTGAATAACCACGCCTGAACGGTAGGACCCCCCCGTTGACTCGGGTCAAAGCATGGCGGGCGCTGCGGCTTCAGCGGCATCGGTGACGGCAGTCCCGAATCGTGGGTTGGTGCCGAAATCGTGACGCGAGGCTGACTTGGGGCCGCAGGCGTCGCTCTGGGGTGTGTCGTGCCGTGGTCGTCGTCTCCGTCGGGGCGGACGACGCCATCACTGGCCGCGCTCGCGGGTTGCCCCACACTCCCGTGTTGTGATGTTGAGGGTGCGGGTTGAATCGGAGTGCCAGGTGCTTGAGATTGTGCTCTCAGGAGGTCATTTTGCAGTGATGAGCGTTCTGCCGTCAATGCCGCGATTTCCTCGGAGCTTTCGTGCAGTTGTCGCAGCAGATCGTTCAAACGCTCCTGCGTGAGAGTGGTGACGTCGATGTTTTCGGCCATGACGAAGGGCGTCGGCTCTTCTTAGTCTAGGCGCAGTCGTGGCTGCACGCGTTTACGAGAGAACGCGAGGACAGCGGCTCCTAGGGGCTAAGGTGCGTGAGTCCCTTCGAGTGAAAAATCAAAAGTTGATTTCCTGGTGTACGGAGATGCGCGGTCCGAAAGAAAGGGGCTCTGATAACCAAGTGTTACGGGTGCAATGAATCGAGGTAGCGAGAATTGCACTAAGGTGTCAAACGAGTACAAAATGTGAGCGAAGGCATGAGCGAACATTTATACGCGAAACATGCAAAACGGTAACGCGGTGCGTGCGAGCTTGCTAGTGCTACGCTGGAGCGAGGCTCGGGCTAGTCCCGAAGCGTAGGCCGATACGGCCATGCCAGCAGTGCGAGGTTTGGTAAAACAGTGCGCGCGAAGTCGGCGAAGTTCCGTTAGCAGTAACGGGCGAACAATCGGCTGTTGCTGTACGCGATGTAGTCGGCTCCGTAAGGAATGCCGAGAAAATTCCTTACACTACCACAAGTGTACAAAGTCGATAAATTGCTTACCGATGCTTTCATTGTCGAACACTTGGGCTTTGATTGTGAAAATCTGTGCGTGACAACCGCGGCTCGACTTTCGGGCGGGATTTCCCGCAGGATTCAGGGCTGCGTCCCAATTCCGAGCCGTCAGACCCACTGATGCCTGCGAACCGCGCAAGGAAACAAATGCGTCAGGCAAGGGATGCTATGGGGCGAAGCGAAGCCAAGGTGCTTGCTTTGGTCCTCCAAACCTCATCTAAACCAACGAGGTCTTGCCACCAACGGCTACCCTAACCAAGGACAGAATTCTCGAACCACACCGCACATGGTTCACGCCAAGGCTGTGGTTCTCAGCCTGCCCCTAAAATTTAACCTCATGATTTACGATTGTGTTTACAGTCATTTACAAATTCCAGAACTCATCAGCGGGCTAAGCGTTATTTCTATCTGGCAAGTGAAGAATTAACAATGCAGCAAAAGACACCAATCGTTCACAGCTTCCCTCGTTTGCTGTAACCGTTTTTGTTAATGAATCTGCAGATGCTTTGGTAGTTCTACCTGACCTCAAAGGCTTCATTCTGAACCAGCAAGTTCAAAGAACCAGAGCGCCCGCTTCGCTCAATTCCGGACCTACCAGTTCCGCTTCGGAGCAGCCTGTCCCGCCCGAATCCGCGTTGTGCCATGTGTCTGCCCGACGGATCAAGCCGTCTCTGGTCTGGCGATTGGAACTAGGCCTGGACTGGACACGCTTCTGTGGATGGAAAGCTCCAGTTGCTTCACCATTCCCGTAAGTTCAGCTCAACCCCTGAGAACCGACGTATACCGAAATGAAACGATGCGAATGATATGTTACACCTTTACTTTCCCCCAAGCCCCTCACATCCCTCTGGCCTTTCACATCCCTCCCCCCACAGCGTCTGACATACCTTCTAGCTTTCCCCCTCCCTTACCACCCGTACTGTATTCCCTCCTCCCTGTCACGACCACCCCCCTACTCCCCCCACACAAGCTTTCTGCTTATCCGCAGCAGCGACCGAATTTATCGAGGGAACCTCCTCAGTTGTTGCTTGGTCCGCTTCATTTCTCTCCTCGGTTTTGATTTCACGTCCTCCAACTTCTGGAGTAGTTTCAAGGCTTCTGGCGAGTTGGAGTTTCTAGGAAGACCTTGGTGTGGGTATTGGTGTCTTGAGCCATGGCGTTCTCTAGATGGCCCTCGTGTTTGGTGGTTCTTCTGCTCATCGCTAGCTCGTGCCAAGCTCAACAAGTGATTCGGCTTGGGTTCCTCCTACCGTATCCTGATGGCGACTCCGCCGTTCCGCAACGACTCGCCGACGAATGGTTAGACCCCTCACCCGAGAGTCTCCCGCTAGGTCACCTCACGTTTATGGTTCGGCACTGCAGAGATAATGACGAGATATTTGTCTAGTTGTGTTCATGTCGACTCCAAAGTCACCGCTATGCTTCTGTGAAATGACCAGGAGGTTGCATCCAAATGACGAAGGGTGCATCACAAATGCATCTTAAAGGTTGCCACCGTCGCAAGACAATTGATCGTGTCGGTCACGCGACAGCTTGTTATTGCTGTTACAAGTTCCGCAAGAGAGATTTTCAAAGGCCTCGTGAGAGGTTTCATCAATAGATTCTGGCCTCCGACGTGCATAAATGAATCCTTGCATCTCGTGCGTCCAATGCTGTCGTGGCAGGATCTCCGCCGTCCGTGTGGCTCTGGAGGTGCTGGGACCCCAGTACGAGAACAACTTCGTCGTCGAGCCGTTCGTCCAAAACTCCGCATGCGACGCCGAAGTTGCCGCTCAGGCTGCACAGGTGGGTCTGATCTGTTACAATAGTATCATTTTTGTCTGCCTAGGAAAGGTTTGATGAAACGTGAAGGAAATCTCTCAGGATATGTGAGTCACGGTTCTTCGCATCCTATATCTCCGACCTCCAAGGAGACCTGGCGTGCTGGTCACGATTCGAGGACGCTCTTAACGGGGTGATCCAGATATCGTCTCTTCATAGGAGAACTGACATGCTGAATAACGAGGATGCCCTTAACGGGACGCATTCAATAGGATGCGTCGCTTTCGTCTGAACGAATGTCCTCGGTGTTACTCTTTCGACAAACATCCGTTTCGCGTTTTCCTTGTTGGTATTGTCATGTCGCAAGGTCACCGCTTACCATGCTCAGCTTATGTGCTCTCCCTTTCTTCGTCTTCCCGTGTCTCTCGAATTTCAGCGGCTAGTCTACACGAACGTGGTCGGCGTAGTGGGTCCGGCGTGCTCCGAGGCCGTGAAGGGTGCGAACCCCGTGCTCAAGGCGGCCGGAATTCCGTTTGTCTCCTTCGCCGCCACTGCCGACGGCTTCTCCAGCGACGTCGAGTACCCCACCTTCTTCCGCACTGTGTACGTTACTGCACGGGTAACCCGATTATTGCTTTCGTCTCGTTCGCAGCCACTGCCGACGACTTTTTCAACGACCTCGAGTACCCCACCTTCTTCCGCACTACTATGTACGTTACCATCTAGCACCCGTTAATTGTCGCTGGTAACCCGTTCGTCACTTTCGTCGCCGCTCGCCGCCACTGCCGACGGCTTCGCCAGCGACTGAGAACCCACTTTTTTCCGCACCGTGTACACTATCGCTGTTCATTGCGCACCCTCCACTGCCTTACTTCACACTGCATATCTTACTGTCTTCTCACCGTATGGGATTTTCCCGTTTGATCCCTGCTTCTCCCGTTCCTTTCCCGCGAATCTTCCCCGTGCGTCCCTTGGCTTCAGCTTCCCCGACGCGGACCAAGCGGTCGCCATTAAATCCGTCGTAAGTCACCTTGGCCATCAACCATTCCCAACTTTCCACCATCCGGTCCCTTTCATTTCTTCCATTCCGCCCCTTGCATTCCGAACCTTACACTCGCCCCTTCCTCTCTGCCCCTTCCTCTCCGCCCCTTCCACTCCGCAGCTTCCTCTTCGCTGTTTTCTCTCCGCCCCTTCCTCTCCGCCTCTTTCTCTCCGCCATCTGTCGACTCCAACTCTTCCCGTTCTTCTGCTCTCTCTTCGTTTACGGCTACGCACTTCCCATTTCACCCCTCTTGGTGATATCTCTCATCCCTCTTATCCACTCTTTCTCCCTCCGTTTCTGCTGCCTCGTGCTGTTCCCCGTGCGTTCCTCCAGATCGAGCACTTCAACTTCGACCAGATTCACCTCTTCTATTCGGACGAGATTTACGGCACCTCGCTCGCTAAGGGCATCAGGGTGAGCTATATCCTCGTTATAAGGCGATTCAGTACATTTTACGGCCGCTCGTTCTCCTCCAGATCAAGCATTTCAACTTCGACCAGAAAAGGAGGAAGCAGATTCTCACTTTTCCACCCACGCTCCCGCCCGCTTCGACCCGCTCGCCCCCGCTCTGCCCTTCCCTCCCCCTTCCCCCCCTCCTTTCCCTCCCGAGCAGAACATCTTGGGCGGCCAGCGCGTGCTGCAGCCGATCAAGGTGTCGTACCCCGTCGACCCCACGGCTCTCGACCAGCACTTCGCCAACATGAAGCCCAGCAACGCGTCCGTCAGCGTCTTCGCCACGTTGCCCTCATCTTCCACCCCTCCCTCTCCCCCTTCTCCCCTCGCTCCCTGCGCTCCCCCCGCCCCTCCCCGCCCCCCCGCTTCCCCCTGTTCTTTCTCGCTTCCCATTTCCTCCCCACCCCGAGCAGAACATCTTGGGCGGGCAGCGCGTGCTGCAGCCGATCAAGGTGTCGTACCCCGTGGACCCCTCGGCCCTCGACCAGCACTTCGCCAACATGAAGCCCAGCAACGCGTCCGTCTGCGTCTTCGCCACGCTGCCCAACGTCGCGGAGGCCCTGTGGGAGACGGCGTTCCGGCTGGTGAGTTGGTTCGGCCGGATCTAATGAGTCGGTTTGGCCGTATCTGGTCAGCTGGTTTGTCTAACGCTGGCCAACATAACAGAGACCCTGTGAAAGGCGCCATTCCGGCTAATGAGTTGGTTTGGCCGGATCCTGGTGAGTTGGTTTGTCTAGCCCCTGATGAGTCGGACCAAGTTCCCGTTCTGTTACCTGGGAGCTGATGGCAATCCCTTTCGCTGCTCCCTTCCCCCCCTCTCCCTCTTTTCCTTCACGCACTTCAGGGCCAGACCAAGTTCCCGTACTGGTACCTGGGAGCTGATGGCGCCGTTGCATTTGACCTCGTTGGTGAAGGTACGCTTGGCCTTTTCAAGTTGTAACGAGGATAATTGCGAGGCCCATTTGTGAAACGGGAATTATGAAGCAAAAAAAAAATGATATCTGGTTTTCTTTCTTTCACATGTTTATGTTTCCTCTCTCACACTTCCCTGGTGCCGTGCAGGCAAGGACCTATCCAACCTCACACACGCCTTGCAGGGAGAGATTGGCGTCGGGCCTTACAGTAAGTCACTGGCTTGCTTGCATTTTTGAGCCGACAAATAAAGAGTCGTGTTTTGAGGCGACTCAAAACACGACTGCAGGCAATGACCTAACCAACCTCACACACGCCTTGCTGGGAGAGATTGGCGTCGGGCCTTACAGTAAGTCACTGGCTTGCTTGCTGCATATATAGCACTTACCTTACATTGCAAGGACTTTTGGGTCACCAAGACCCACGAGGAGTAGCCTGGCCTGCTCACGTTCTCGTTCTCCTGTTCTCGCTCTTCTCCCTCCCCGTCCCCCTCTCCCTGTCCCTGCCTCTTTCCCTGCCCTCCCCCTATCTACCCTTTTGATCCTCCCCCCCACGCGCAGAGGGCAACTACCATCCGCGCACGTCGCCCTTCAACCAGTTCAAGGACTTCTGGGCCACCAAGACCCACGAGGAGTACCCTGGCCTGCTCACGCTCGACGCCTCCCCCCGGGTATGCACGTGTTGTTGTGATAGCTAGCTGTCAAGCTTGACGCTTCCCCAAGGGTATGTGCGTGCTGTCAGTGACTGAAAGCCGGCAGCTTGGTGGCACCAAGGCGCACGAGGAGTACCCTGGCCTGCTCACGCTCGACGCCTCCCCCCGGGTATGTGCCTGGACTGCTTCGGTTCACTGAAGACCTTCGGTTCACTGAAGACCTTCGGTTCACAGAAGGCCTTCGGTTCACAGAAGGCGTTCGGTTCACTGAAGGACTTAGGTTCGGTTCACAGAAGGCCTTCGGTTCACCATGTCACCAACCTAATTGACTCTATCTGGCCTTCCACCTTTCACCTTCCACCTTCCAAGCTTGCAATCTCTTGCATCGACGAAGTCACTTTCCCTCTTCCCACCACCGCCCTCGCTTCCCCTTTGTCTCCCTCAGTTCACGGCAGCCCGTGCGTGCCGCTGTGAATAACTGTGATACCTGTCAAGCCGCTGCCCATGTCACCAACCTAATTGATTCTACCCTTAAGCCCCTGCCCATGTCACCAACCTAATTGATTCTACCTGTCAAGCCCCTGCCCATGTCACCAACCTAATTGATTCTACCTGTCAAGCCCCTGCCCATGTCACCAACCTAATTGATTCTACCTGTCAAGCCCCTGCCCATGTCACCAACCTAATTGATTCTACCTGTCAAGCCCCTGCCCATGTCACCAACCTAATTGATTCTACCTGTCAAGCCCCTGCCCATGTCACCAACCTAATTGATTCTACCTGTCAAGCCCCTGCCCATGTCACCAACCTAATTGATTCTACCTGTCAAGCCCCTGCCCATGTCACCAACCTAATTGATTCTACCTGTCAAGCCCCTGCCCATGTCACCAACCTAATTGATTCTACCTGTCAAGCCCCTGCCCATGTCACCAACCTAATTGATTCTACCTGCCAAGCCCCTGCCCATGTCACCAACCTAATTGATTCTACCTGTCAAGCCCCTGCCCATGTCACCAACCTAATTGATTCTACCTGTCAAGCCCCTGCCCATGTCACCAACCTAATTGATTCTACTTGTCAAGCCCCTGCCCATGTCACCAACCTAATTGATTCTACCTGTCAAGCCCCTGCCCATGTCACCAACCTAATTGATTCTACCTGTCAAGCTGCTGCCCATGTCACCAACCTAATTGATTCTACCTGTGAAGCTGCTGCCCATGTCACCAACCTAATTGATTCTACCTGTCAAGCCCCTGCCCATGTCACCAACCTAATTGATTCTACCTGTCAAGCCCCTGCCCATGTCACCAACCTAATTGATTCTACCTGTCAAGCCGCTGCCCATGTCACCAACCTAATTGATTCTACCTGTCAAGCCGCTGCCCATGTCACCAACCTAATTGATTCTACCTGTCAAGCCCCTGCCCATGTCACCAACCTAATCTACTCAAGCTGGCCTTGCACTTTCCAATCTTGCAGTCTCTCGCATCTCACGGTTCCTTGAATCTGCTGCTTTGCCTCCCTCCCCTGCCACCCTTCTCAGTTCACCGAAGCCCGAGCCTACGTCACCAACCTGATTTTGACTCCATCTGGGCATTCCCCGCCCCACTGTCTCTTGCATCTGACAGCTCCCTCTCTGTATCTGCTGCCTTAACTCCCTCCCCTCACACCTTGACTTTTGCAGTTCACCGAAGCCCGAGCCTATGTCACCAACCTGATTTTGACTCCATCTAGGCATTCCCCTCCCCACTGTCTCTTGCATTTGACTGCTCCCTCTCTGTATCTTCTGCCTTGCCTCCCTCCCCTGCCACCTTGACTTGTGCAGTTCACCGAAGCCCGAGCCTACGTCACCAACCTGATTGACTCCATCTGGGCATTCTTTGAAGCTTTCAAGTCGATTGTCGTTGACCAAGGTACAGGGCCTCGTTTGTTTGATGTTTGTTTGTTTTGTTTTGTTTTGTTTTTTTCATTGTTGGTCGGCGCAGTTGCTTCATGTCTTGTGGCCGCAGCACCAATTTTTGTCTGTCTCTTTGTTGTCCTGCATCTTCCCACTGGTCGTCCTTGTGTCGCCAGGCAAGGAGGTAACGGCGCCGCTCCTGCTGAACTGCTTCCGAGGCATCCCCTCGCAGTGTGTGGCGTTCAACGGCGCCTCTGGCACCGTCTCGTTCAACAGCACCACAGGGGAGAGGCAGACGGAGGCCTCTGCGCCCCAATACGGGTTCTACAACCTCATTGACGTCACCTGGAAGGTCAGTCTTCGTGAGCATTGCTGGAGATATTCCCACATGTTTCATGGCCTCTGCTTCCCAATACGGGTTCTACACGCTCTATGACGTCACCTGGAAGGTCAGTCCCACCTGCCTGAACATTTCGGCCCACTGCCATCTGTGTGCCTTCTCACTCCTCGAGTGTGTAATCGCTATGCCCTCTTCTCCTTTCCCACCGCAGGAGAAGAGCAAGTGGGTGCTGGGCAGCTACGACATCAACCCCAACCTGGACTACATTGAACGTCCCACTCCCTGTCCCTGACCTATTTCCCTCTTGTGTACTCTCTATCCTTCAGGAGAAGAGCAAGTGGGTGCTTGGCAGCTACGACATCAACCCCAACCTGGACTACATTGAGCGCCCGGGCCCACTGCCGCCCACTTGGAAGGTGGATCTCATGAAGCAGATGGCCGCCCAGCCTGCCATCATCCCGGGCGGCATCAACAAGCCGCAGGAGATTTCAGACACTTTTGATGACCTGCCCGGTGCCAAGGAGAAGGTGAGGAGGGGGAGAGAGGGAAAGGCAGACACATGGGAGTGTGAAGTGACCGTATGGGGAGAGAAGGTGAGAAGGGAGAGAGAGGGACCTGAGTGGGTTAGAAGCAGATGGCTGCATGGCCTGCAACCACCCTGCACTACCCTTGCTGTGATCTGAACTGTTGTGATGGTTCTTGAATTTTGAGGCAGCTTATGAAATGAGGTATTCTTCCTTACCTTCCCCCGTCTTTTTTTGCAGGATTACAATACCACCACTGCCAAGGCGCCTGCACCCTCTGGTGGTGGCGGCGGGCCGAGCACGGGTGCCATTGTTGCTCTCGTGCTGGTCATTATCGTCGCCATTGGAGTGCTCGGATACGGTGGATGGTATTGGTACAACCGCAACTACCGCCACCCCGAGCACCAGACGTTTGTTCGCATGCTTTAGAATAAGCACAACGCATTAGACTTGTAGGGAGTGGTAGGCAAGATAAATAGTATGCGCCAAATTTGATGTTTCCATATATTTCTTTTGCCAATGGAGTAATAGGGGGATTCAAACCATTAGTGTGATCCGCATATATCTATCCCTGAATCTGGCACTTATGATTTTTTTTACAGTGTACTATTGCTTCTTACTGTAGAAGCATGGGTCTATGAACTTGAAAGCCTGATCCAGCAATGATTTGTCTGTTGTGGAGGCTTTTGTCCGTTTCTATGAGGTTGAAGAGATCCGATGTGCTAGTTCAAAGATGGCCAAATGGTGCAGTGGGCTCGCGCGCATGTGTTTCCATGTCTGTTTTCCCGTTCTGATCCGAGATGCAGATCAAGAATTAGTACTTCGTTGGGTATACGTGTACTGCATTCCTGCCAACTCCGTGTCAAGGGTGTGATTGTTGATGACCGCGATCGTTGGTTGCGATTTTAGGGCAGCTCCAAGGAAAGTGGGGCATCAGATAAACGAAAGAGTCGACGGTAAAGTCTTAATCCGATTTCCCCATCATCGCCCATTCATTTCCACCCACTGTGCTGCTGAGTGGCACCATGGCATCATACGGCGGGGACATCCAACCCAAAATCAGGACCTTGTCGTGTTCGAGGTGAAACCCAAACTAGTGAAACTTGTACTGTACATTCACGACGAAGGGAAGTCGCTTCGCTATCTGCTGATGCAAATGCTGGTGGGTTCGAACCCACCAGGACCCGGATAGACTGGTGAAAATTAAACATTGGACCACTACAGTAAACCTTGTTTGTTTCTCCCGTCCCGTCCTCCTCCCCTCCCCCACATGAACACCTCTCATTCAAACCTTGGTGTGCTGTGCACCTGTTCGCGTTTGAGTCCCCCATACCTGCCTTGTGAAGAGGGTATATAACTGATTTGCCATTTCGCGCAGTTCCGCGCACTTCGCCTCGGTCATGGTGGGCGTTTAACTGGAATGTGTAACACCCCGTTTAAGTTAAACCACAATAGTGTAGGGTGGTTGTGGTTGTTTGATATGTGTTGCCAGTGTTACCACATTGTTTTTCCATTTCTGTAGCACCCGATTACATAATTACTCACAAACAGGCATGAACATGCAACCATCTCACTTCGGCCAATCCCAGACTCACAGCTGTGCACATGAAGCAACACACGGGGCTACTAACAGTGCACAATTGTGTACAAGATCTGCAAATCTGTGCACCGGTAAGAGTCGTTCTCCTCTAAGGGGTGACCAACCCCTTCACAAAGTCATCCACTCCGCGGCATCCACATAGCCGTTCATGACGGCACTCACGTCAGAGTCAATAAGCTGATGGTGGGTGGGAGCAGGCGCATACATCCACGCATGTAGAATGCGTCAGCGGTGTCGAGGAGTGGTCGCCTACGTGGTGGCGACAGGAGCCTGCGTTGGAGTCGCTAGGCAGGTTGGGGAGCGAGCGGCGGCGTCGTGTTTAGGTTCAGCGCGGAGCTGGCGCGCTCCATGTGGTCGACGATGATAGGGTTCTTGATCTCGAAAAGCGCGCTAAGGTTGCGCGGCGTGATGCCGGTGGCACGTGCGTAGCTAATGAGCATCTCGCTCGCCGCTCGTGCATAACGCCGCGCCTCACTGCTCTCTGGGTCGGTGGAGGGTGCCTCCTATGACGGAATACCATGGCGCCCGAATACACCGCTGCGGGCTAAGGGCAAGCAGCTCAGCGCACGTGGGCTGGTTGTCGTCGATGACGACAAATGTAGTGGCCGGCATAGCGCTAGGATCTAGGCCAAGACGGGCGATCATGATGCCGGCATCCCCGATGTCCTCGTCGAGGTCGATGGGGAGAGCGGCATTCGCGCCATTGCCGCCGTCCAGGCCAACATGCGCCAGGTGCATGGCCCACGAGCACGGCATGCACCCCGTGTACCACCAGCAACGCTGGATCGTGCGCACGAGGATGTTCATCCAAGCGTTCGAGAGCCAGGCGATGATGTTGCGCATGTTCGAGCGGTATCGTGCCATCACGGGTGTGGCGCCGGCATCTTGCCAATTGGACGTGGCCGCACGAAGCCAGTGCACACAGTAGCGGGCCTTAGTTGTTGCGATCAGCCCCTGGTCGAGCGGCTGCATGAAGGCAATCGTGTTGGGCAGCAGAAAGACAAGCCTGAAGTTGCCGATGCCCCAAGTGCGGAAGCCGAAAAGGTCTTCCGATGTGGCGGCGTCGCTCCTGATAACGTGGCTGCTCGCATTGTCCAAGAGTATGACGACCTGGCGGTCCTCGCCACCATGGCGGCGTTGAGCTGCCCAATAAAGTGTGTGAAAGGCTACACGAAATGCGAAGGCACAAAAGAAACGCATAAGTGTGAAGCATATGTGAATCATATTCGCAAACCAAACAACATCGAAACGGATGTGCGCGAATGTGAGCAATAACTCTAATGCTTACCGGCGCCGTCATCCATCCCTTAGTGGTGTGACGCTAGTAGCGTAGCTCCTCCAGGTCGTAATCGGGAAGAAAGTCGTGCGGGCGCTTAGCCTTAAAGATGATTAAGGGGCGGAATGCATAGCTACCGTCCGTGTTCATGAGCAACCTGACGGTGAGGCGCTCCTTCCCAACTTCCGCCCCGCCACGCGCGCACCACCGTACGTATAGCGAGGTAAGACCAACAAATTCAGGGCAGTCTCGTCGAAATTGTACTCGTGCGGACGGACAAAGAGGTGCATCAAGAGTTGCAGGAGCTGCTCCTGGCAAGTAGAAATGCGACGTGATCCTGATCGGCGGCCTCCCTGATTTCGCTGCGGCAACGAATGCCGTTGCGCCGCATGGCCCGGCGTGTGAAGATAAGCAGTAGAAGAAGGCGCCATAGCTAGGAAAGCCCTAGCTAGGCAAGAAACAGTTTAGGCAAAGAAGAGGTTCACTAGCAAGAATGAGGATACAAATAGCAAACCCTAGAAGGGTTGTACTTGCTATAGAGCACCCCTCTACAAGCTAGAGCATAACATTCTGACACACCCCCATAGCCAAAGTGGGGTGTAATCAGCAGAGCAAGCAAAGCAGAACAAGCTCTAGGTGGATCACAATGTCACCACACATTCTGAGCACAAGTACAAGAAGCAATAGTTTAAAATTCACAATTATGAGCAAAGCTAGAGGCTCTCGCAGAGAGCAAGTGAGGAGGAGGAGGCAAGACTGTAAGAGGAGAGGAGATAGGAGGCGACAACTAAAGCTGCAGACACACGGGCAACAATAGGCACACTAGCACAGCGGCAACCGGAACAGCGCTCCGGACTACTGGAGTAACTGGCCCCGCGGCTAAAAGTAGCGGCAGACGAGCAACGGTCCCACGGGCGGCTGGCACAGGTGGCTGCGACTGGGCTACCGGAGCAACTCCCCGGACTACAAAGGCTGCTCGCGACACGACGGCAACCTTCGTTCAACCTCCCCAAACAGTCCCACCCCCCCTAACACACACCCCCTGCTTCACCCCTAGCTCCACTCCCCCTTCACCCCCCTTAGTACCACTCCGATGGCTCCAACAGGTCCACCCCCCCTCAGCGGCAGCTGCAGCACTGGGAGACGGAGGAGGAGGAGCAGGGGACGGCACACAGAAGCTGCACCCCCATACCCCCCACCCCCAAACCCTAATCCAGGAGAACGGGCAGCAGCAGAGGTGGTGCGCCATCAGAAGCACGGGGGACAGCGGGCAGCGCAAGGGCAGCGAAGAACGGGCCGCCCACGGGCCTGGCACAGCCGCGCGAACCACGCGCAGGCGGCCTGAGCCGCGCGCGGGCCTGGCGCTTTTCATACGGGCCGCGCGCGGGCCTGGCGCAGCCCATACTGGCCGCGCGCGGGCCTGGCGTGAGAAGAAACGAGAATGAATGAACTATGAATGAGTTGGGTACAAGTACTAACCCTAATTGAGTTGTACCCCTTATGGGCTACCCCACTATAGCCTACACAACATGCATGAGCTATAATGTTCAAACACACCCCCATCGGCAAAGTGGGGGAGAACAAGGGGTCACAAGACCAGTCAAGCAAAGCAAAACAAAGCAAGCTCAGGGTGGATCACAAAGTCACCACATATTCCGAGCACAAGTTCAAGGCCACAAGGCCAGTTCACATGCAGGAGTACATATATATAAAGAAGGCTAGACAAGCAAGAGCAAGGTATATATACATGTAACAGTACAAGCAAGGTCAAGAGTTGAGCAAGTGAGGCAAAGTAGGCACAAGGCCCAGCTGAGTACGGAAGCGCTGATGGTCACAAGGCGCAAGCGCCTTGGTGAAGATATCACTTGTGTTGGCCTCAGAGGCCACGTACGCAAGACGCAGCTGACCACGCTACTGCAGCTCACAAGCAAGAAAGTAGCGGAGAGTAATGTGCTTCGTTCTGTGCTCCGATCGCTGCTCCCGGCACAAGGCCAACAGGGCCTTGTTGTCTACGTACAGCACAGGAGAAGAACGAGGCGGCTCTCCGAGGCCAGTCAGCAGGTAGGTGAGCCAGCGAAGCTCCTGTGCAGCCATGGCTCTTGCGTAGATCTTAGGCTCACAACTGGAGCCGAGAACACAAGACGAGCGAGATTGGCTTCCACGAGACAGAGCCGGAACCAAGGCTGAAGGTGTAACCCTGTGACGACCGCTGCGTAGCCTGGTCGTCAGCCCAAGAAGCGTCTGCGTGCCCAGTGAGGACCACTGGAATCTGCCCTCCAAGCACAAGCCCCATGCCTGACGTACTGCACAAGTAGCGCAACACCCTCTTCGCTGCAGCCATGTGCTTCGGTCTCTGTCTCCCAGGAGCAACATTGCATGCGCGAATGCTAAGAGGGTATGCAAGGTCCGGTCGTGTGAAGGTCATTAGGTACATGAGGCAGCCAACAAGCTCTGGGTACAGGCCACTCGACTCTACGGACTCATCCGAACGCAGAGCTGAGAGCGAGTGGCGAGTAGACAGAGGAGTGGCCTGAGGCGAGGAGTACGTGAAGCCGAAGCGCTGAAGGACCTGCTGCACCATGTGTGACTGAGTCAAGGTAATGGTGCGGCGTGCTCTGTCCCGGGTGATATGCAAGCCAAGGTAGCTGCGCAGTTCACCAAGGTCTGTGCACGTCTGTCTCTTCTGCAGCTCGGACTTCACGTAGGCGAGTCCAGCAGTGTCAGCTGTGGCGAAGACCAAGTCGTCGACGTTCACGAGGATGTAGAACAGCGGCAGAGAAGTGTCGGTGCGCAGAAACAGCGACGGGTCAGCAGTAGAAGGAGCAAACCCAAGAGCCGCAAGCGTAGTCCTCAGTGTGTCGTGCTGTAGCTGTAACTGCGACGGGACCAGTAAAAGACGGGAGACCAAGAACCTGCTGAAGGAGCGGAACGAAGTACGGCCGAGGCCGCGCGGCGACTCTAGACACAGCAGGGACAGCACCAGCACCCCCAGTGGCAGCACCAGCACCAGTAGCACCTCCAGCTCCAGTACCCCCAGCAACACTTGTAGTACCCCAAGCAAGACCGCCTCCAGGACGGACAACAATAGCCTCCGCGCCAAGACCCGCAGCAGCTCCAGCTCCAAAAGTACCCGCAGGTCCAGCAGCTCCAGTGTTCCCAGTACGAGCACCTCCGGGACCCGTGGCACCAGCTCCGTCAGCAGCAATAGAACCTCCAGAACCCGCAGCACCTCCAGCTCCAGCAGCTCGCCTCCAGCCCCGGGCAAACCAGTCACGCAGCTCCTGTGGAGAGAGTGGCTCCCGGCGAGAAGAAGCACCAGGAGAACCGCCAGGCATAGCACAAGCAGTCCCAGCTCCCTCAGGCTCTGCACCCCCAGGCTCAGCACCTCCAGGCGTAGCACCCCCAGGCTGAGCACCCCCAGGCTCAGCACCCCCAGGCGTAGCACCCACACGCTCAGCACCCCCTGAGTCAGCACCCTCAGGCTCAGCACCCTCAGCAGCACTAGAGTCACCAGCGACCTCGACAGGCTCGACCGCGTCTACCGGGGACACACTTGAAGGGGCAGGTTCCTGAGGGGGGAGGGGGTCTACCGGTAGGGGACCTGGCACAAGGAAGAGCGGTGGCGGGGGGAGGGACGGAGTGCGGTAGGGGAAGAGACGGTAGTAGGGGACCGACTCGTCAAACGTGACGTCCTGGGAGGACAGAACACGGCGAGAGGTGGGGTGGTAAAACTGCCACCCTGGCGCCTCAGGGGGGAAACCCAGGAAGACGCAAGGAGTTGCACGAGGGGACAGCTTGTCCGCAGACAAGTCGCGGACAAACGCCCGAGATCCCCAGACACGGAACGCAGACGCATCGCCAACCTTCCCCGTCCACAGCAAAGCTGGGTTTGTCTCCGGCATAGAGACCCTGGGCTGAAGGTTGATCTGATGCGCCGCGTACCGAACCGCAAACGGCCACAGAAAATGGGGGGCAGCCGCATGCATCATGGACGTACGGGCGACGTCCATGACCATGCGAATGCGGCGCTCAGCAATCCCATTTTGCTGTGGAGAGTCCGGAAGCGTGAAGGTCTGGCGGATGCCTAGTGCACGACAGTAGGCTCGCAGAAGGCTAGAGGAGAACTCTCCGCCTTTGACAGAGTGCAGACGCAGAACAGGATAGTCCGAGCTGAAGCTCTGCCTTAGCTGGAGACAAGCTGCGCGGATCCAGTCGATCAACACCTCAGTGACATCACCTTTGCTACGCAAGGGGAAGACTGTAGTGTAACGCGAGTAGTCGTCAACCACCTGCAGGATGTAGCGCTCGTGACCTTGTCCCAGGATGCGGGCCAGTCCCCATTCGTCCATGTGAAGCGTCTGCAGCGGGGCCTCTGTCGAAGGAAACTGAGAGGAGTGAGGGGCAGCCCGCTGCCACCCCTCGACACAGGGGACGCAGGTAGGGCCAGGCCCCGGAAGAAGGGGAGGGAGGGACCGGGGAAGACCAGAGACAAGGAAACGGGAGGCCATGCTTCGGAGACGAAGCAGGGAGGGGTGACCAAGGCGGTGGTGCCTGAGGAGAGTCTTGTGAGACAGGAGGCAACACGAGCAGGGGGCAGACTCAGGATCAGACCTGGACGTTGCAGCAAACACCTCACCCGACGCTGCTACCTAACCAGACGCAGTATCTGGAGGAGACGTGGTGGTTAGTGTGTACAGGCTCAACCCCGGCCGACGTGTAAACGTGGCCTGGTGTGGGCGTGTCCGAGCGTCCGTGCAGTGGGTCACCCGCTGACTCGCAGAAGTGAATTGGTGAACCCCTGCATCCTGTAGGTCAGCACCACTCACCAAGTTCGTAGAGAACGAGGGGAGGTAAAGACCAGACAGGGTGCCAGAGGGGGCCGCCGGACACGGGAGGACAGTGGAGAAGTGAGCAAGGACAGGACCCCCAGAGGGGTTTGCTAGGGAGACTGCTACTGGCCGACCAAGCGGCGTGGGTGTGGTGCGGTCTTTAAAGAAGGATCAAGAAGCTACCGAGTCAAGTGTGAAG